GTTCTGAGTTAAGTGTGCACAGAGCTGCATGGGGTGGGGTTGTTTTCTGGAACTGTCAGCCCTGCTTTTTATTATTCCCAGCTGTACCGTGTCATTATCAAGAGTGGATATTTCTCTCCAGACCCTTGGGCAAAACAGCTTTCGAAAGTGCCTTGCTCCTGACTCACTTTCTCCTGTTGGAAGCATGACTAAGCCTCATACGGAACCATCCTCAGCAAGTTGCTCGCTTCTACAAGCAAGAGGCACCCTGTCAGGAGCGAAAAACTCCACTTACCTAGCAATGGATTTTATAAAAATGACTGTTGTCACTGAGCGGAGCTGCAGTTCAGCGGGGGAATCTTGATGAACTGCCAGCCAGTGTCAGCCCAGGACACACCAAACCCCCGTGATAAGCAAGAAACGTAAAGCTGCATCTCCAAGCGCCACTCATTTCCTGGGGCTCCTATGCATGCTTGCCCAGCACATGTAAAATGGAGTTACAGGGAGACTGAGGCGACGGGGGATTTGCCTGGCTTGTATCAGTTCCAGGAGCCAAGGGGCATGTTGGCCAAAACATTCCGCCGCTGCACTGTCTTCTTTCCCGTAGAAAGCCAAGCTTCTTATCAGACACCAGAAAGGCAGTTTGGTGTAGAGCTTTGGGTTCTGAACTGGAACTCGGGAGCTCTAAGTTCTACACCCCACTCAGGCATGGGTGCCCTGGGTAGCTTTGGGCCCATCACTCAAGTCTCAGCCTAACTTCACAGGGTTGCTGTGAAGATAAAATGGGGGGGGGGGGGGGGGAGACCTTGCAAGTCACCTGATTTCTTGCAAGAAAAAAGTGGGATATAAATATTAGTACTGCATCCTGACTTTCCCTCTCCATTGCAATGAACAACACTACTGGGAGAGATACAATAATAATGCTGCATCTATTTCCAAGAAAAGACTGGCCACATTCAGACAACAGTGTTGTCACAGGAAGTGGTGCTGGCTGCCAACCTGGATTGACAGATTCATGCAAGAGGAGGCTCGCTGTGGCTACTCTCCTTGCTGGCTATGTGCCACCTCCTTCACAGAGCTAATTTGCCCGCATACCAATGAGTTTGGACCCATCCTGCTGGAGGGAACCTGTGGGCAGCTGGTTTGCCACCATGTGTGTGGAGTGCTGGACTAGATGGACCTTTGGTCTGATGCAGCATGGCTTGTCTTACATTCTTTAAAAAAGTAGCCCTGGGTTGCTTTGACACCAGAATGCAGCCAAGCGATACTTTCTTGGATCCTGCAAGGCTTGGGTACGTGTGAATGAAGCAAAGGCGGAAGCGCTGGCTTCAGCTGCCTGTTCAGGCCTGCCACCAGCTCCCGGGGCCCTCCATCCCCGTGCTGTGTCGTGTAACATTTGAAAAACAAAGCTTTGCTCTTCCAGGATGAGACCACACCAGTTGGCTCTGACACTCCGTGGTAACTTGGGCCTCAGTGCAGAACCGTACCAAGAAGTGGCATAGAAGGTGCTGGCTGACCACTGAGGGGCCCAAGGCAGCTGGTGGAAGCCACAAGGGGAGCGGTCATAGCAGAAGAAAGACATGTGGATGAGTCGCTGGGAAGAGTCACCTGCACAAAGGCTGTGTGAATGCTGGTTTGCATTGTGTCTGCTGCAGTCCGCGGCACAGAGACTCCCAGCACCTCCACCCACGTTTTGTGGGCATTCCTTTGATTATTATGCAGCTGCCGCGTTCCATTAGACTGCCTCAGCAAAGCACTGCCGCCTTTTCTGGGCAGGAGGCATTTCGTCCAGCCCTTTATTTGGATTAGGCAAGTTTCCGTGCAAGCTTGTGTTGTGGGGCAGCTGGTGCCAGGAGAGCCCGGCCAGAGTGTGGAGATGCTGGCCCTGAAGTGTCGGAGCTGCTGCTGCATCGCGGTTTTGACTCGCTAGGCAAAGATGGACGAGGAAGCAGCCGAGCTCTTGGTGTTTTCCGGGCCTGTCCGGGCATCAGCTGGGGCCCCTCAGCATCCTGCCCAGCAGGCTCCCTACCCCTCCTCATTTTTACTCTTTTCCCTAAAAACATTGAGACTATTTTTTCTTTTCAACTGGGAGACCAGCAGTGCAGCGTAGTGAAGGTCTGTCCCTCCGGCACGATCCTTATTTGGTGCAAAGGAGGGATTTTGTTTCTAAGAGTCCTATTCCTGCCTCTGCTTTTACGTAGATGCTTGGGCAAGTTACTTTTCTTTTAGTTGCATCCCCGTGCCTTCTGGGAAATGAGCATTTTGTGCAGCACCGCTGAGAGCGCACTTGGGCGCTGTGCACACCTCTCCCCCATCTTCCTCCCCTTGACAGGGTTGTTACCCAGGCCCCCTACCTGCCCTCAACCACCACCTGGAGCACCCGCATTGCAGTAGTCTCCCAGGACACGCTCCCCAGCATCTGGGCCTGGCCCTCAGAGCCAAGCATCTGGGCCTGGCCAGCCACTTCCGCCCTCTGATGCGGCTCTCCAGAGGGCAGGCCTGACTCTGGCTTGTGTGGAGAGCATTCCCCGCGCAAGCTTGAGGGTGGCTGGCTGAGAGGCCAACTGGGTGGCAGCTCTGGAAAGCCCAACTGGCCACCCTTCGTGATGTGGTATTCGGAGGACTGTGTCATGCGCGTGTGCTCGGATGAGATTCCCAGGCGCGCATGAGAGGGCGAGGACCCTGGTGAGAACTGATGGCTTACGTTCAGAAGAAGAGGAGGTGATCATTGTCCCAGTAGCGGCTCAGAGTTCTCACCCTGATATCGGAGTTGAGGCCCCAGGTGGCCGACTCCTCCCGGAGAGCCGGCCTGCCAGCACAGGATCAAAGCACTTCAAGGACAACCACTGAGCCCCCTCCCATTCCCAATTGTGGGAAAGAAGCAGATGGAGAACAGGATGGGGGGAGTTGTTCGGGAGATCTAGGCGCCCGGATGCAGCAACCCACTCACCAGCTCAACCGGCTGGAAACCCTTTGAGAGGAGCGGTGATGTGCCCGCACCCTTAGCGCACTGCCCCCCAGAGACCGGCCCCGAAGGGTCCATAAGCAAAGTTTGGGGTGACCTCAGTCAGAGCGAGAGGTCAACTTTCTACCTTGTGTCTGTTTTCGGAGTTTGTGAACACTCTGTAGCTGTATGAAATAAACTCTTAACAACTACTGGAGTGATTGCCTTCGTTGGGAAGGGACGCCTGGTTCACGAGACTGGGCTGGGACTCAGGTGATCTGGGTCCTAGGCCCTGTTCGGCCACGGAGGTCACTGAGTGACTTTGGGCCAGTCACAGACTCTCAGCCCACCCCACCTCATAGGGTTCTTGCAATGAGGCTAAGACTGAGAAAGGGAAAAGGAATTATGTAAGCTGCTTTGAGGTCCTTGGAAGGAAAAAGGTGGAATATAAATGTAATTAATAACATGCCAGGCTGGCAGGACTCTCTGAAGCAGCAGCTGCAGGCAACAGTTCTGGGAAAATTACTCAGTTCACCATTCCTCCCACTCTGCTGCCCAAGGTGGGCAATCGCCTTCCTAAAGGGCAGGCCGGCCCTGCTTTTGCGGCAACCTGTGCCAATTATTGCAGCCATCTTATGAATGGGTATCCCCCACTCCTAGCACAGGGATCCCCATTTTTGAGCACTCATAACGTGCCCTCAGGATTCCAGATGCATGCACAGGCCCCCAGAGCTTGGTGAATGCTGATCCAGAGGCTTTCTTATACTGTCTTGTGGCTACAAGGCCTGCTAGTTTATCCAGTCCCTCCGTTGCCTGCAGAGGGCTCCTGGCTGAACCATTCATTGTTCCAGGGAGTTTACCGGGTTGGATGTTCGCCTCTGAGCATGAGGTCTGCAGAGCACTCCCTGGACTGTTATCATAATGACACTGAATGGCGTGTGGGTGATGTCAGGGTGCATTAACCAGTTATGTTTTTAGAAATCAGCAGGAAACACCTATTTAATAGGGGTGGAAGAAAGACTGAGTGCAAGTTCTCTTGCCCCAGATTGCAAATCAGCCACCCACGGCATGCCAAAAGCAGGAGACAGGCAAATGAAGTGTCCTGGGCCTGCGGAACAGGAACTTCCAGCCAAAGCCCCAAAGCTGCAACACATCACCTCTGAGGGCGGTTCGTGCAGGGAAGATACAGGGCAGCACCTTCTCTGTTACTGCACCACCACTCTGGAACCACCACCCTGGGAACCCAACCTTGCTCCACTCTGACTGCCTCCCAGGTAGAAGCTACCTGTCCTGCTAGACGTCTGGAGATGCTGAGTGCCTTAAGTATACTACTGCTCATTTCAGCTGTCACTTTTTTGACAATGTACATACCATTTAGCCTTGCAATCTTATGAGAAGGCTGGTATAAAATCCATATCGGTTTGTAGTATGCAACTGTCCTTATAATTGTTTTCCAGACTTCTGCAGGGCAAATAATGCAATTGTTCTTATCATTTCCAACTCCCAGGGCCTGGACACAGTTGTGTGGACTATGAGGGTTAGAAAAATCAATTCACATAGATGCACAGAATGCAAGCGAATTGAACAGGTGTCCCTACAGAAATGTGACTGTATTGATATGGGGTTTTGCAGACCCTTGGACCCATTTTTGATGCCTGCCAAGCTTCCCAAGCCCACAACACAAACACACTTACTTTCTGATCTTCTTTTCCCCAGAATCCCTCTGGGCCACACATGGGGCTCAGAGACATTCTTAGGAAATTAAACTGGCAGCAGCTGAAGCTGATGTTTTCATGCGCAAATGCCCATTTTGTTGCAGAATTCAGGGTTGTTCTTCAATGGCCATACAGCCCTCAAAACTTTTTTCACCGTGCTTCCTTTGGGTCAGCTGTCGGCAGACTTTTTCTCCTTTTCCTTAGTTCTACCTCAGCACCTGATGAGGTAGGCTGTCGCTTATGCCATTTTGTAATTTAAGGAAACCCCTGAGAAGGCAGTCTTAAGAAGCCATTGAACTTACTTGGTTGCCCGTACTTCCCCTCACACGTAACAAGGGGTAAAATCCAAACGCTGCCCTGCAAAAGCTTCAAAGAAATTTATTTGCCACACATGAAACTTATCCCAAACGCTGCCATGCACTACTGGGCCATCTCAGCATAGTCTCCTTCAGTGGTGGCCCTTGACAGAGACAGGTGGCTTCCACCGCTCTGAACACCCCGGCTGCTGGTCAGTTCCTCGGAAAGGATCGACGTGGCACTTGCCCTCGTCCTTTGACTTTTTTCCTCCTCCTCCTCCTCCTCCTCCGTCCTGATGGGCATGAGCGTGTGAGGAATAAACCTGTTGCGCGGAGCTCCAATGATGCCAATCCTGTGAGAGAAAGAGACGCGCCGGACTGAAGATACTGAGCCCCAGCAAGCCCTGCCCCGGAGCCAGGACTCCGAAGTCTGCCACTAAGAAAACCGATCTACAGGACAAAACGCCTGCCAGTGAAGGCTGCAGCTCCTTAGTTACAGAGCGAGTGAGGAACCTGAACCCCATGGTCTAAATCTGGACCTCCCACAAGCCACCTGCCGGAGGGCCATGTCCCCCTCCCATGTTTGAACACATGGATCATGCAGCTGCACTTATCAGAAAAGCTGGATGGGCTGCAGTCCTCCACTGGGTGTAGGTTCTGTGGCAACGCCAGTTTTGCTGCCACATACGGCTGGGTTCAGCCCACAAAGCCATACTTGTGACAGGTGAAAGAGACTCTCTTCCCCTCCATGGCAACGTCTGTTTTCATCTCCTCCTTGGGTTGTTGATAATGGTGCATTGCTGCTGAATGATGGGTTGCTGTGCTGTGTGAACCCAGCTGAGCTAACAAAACAGGGCTTACTACCACAAAAGACCCACAAAGAGAACCCCTGGCTCTGTTGCTGGGTTGTGAACTGTGGTTTGTTTGTAGTTAACAAACTAGGGTTCATTAGTATGACTGGGTTCACACAGCACAGCAACCCACATTTCAACGGCAAGCCACACTGAACCCAGCGCATGGGTCAAATGTACGTTTTCATGTTGTGTGAACCAGGTCAACACGTGGAATGCTTCTTACTCCTTACTTCGATAGTGTCACAACTGAGGACAGTTCCGGCAGTTCCTCTGGACTGTAGCTTTGAGCCATTTTGCCAGGACGAAGGTAATGATCCTGGAAAAGGTACTGGGCACTGTCTTTAGCCATAGGCAGCAAAGTACTAAGTACTGGCGACCGCTGGTCCATGACGCTTCGTATGGCAGGCTGCCTAGCCTCTGTGCTCCTTCAAGGAAACATTTTTTAAAAATCACTAAGAGATGCCAAGTAGGAAGAATGAGGTATTTTTTAAAGAACACTGGTGCAAGAGATATGAGCATGTTCATCACATTTGATATAAACATCCATTTTCCTCTTCTGGGACAAGTTCCAAAGAAGTGGCCTGCTGCATTTTTGGTAGGTTCGACTGGAACTGGAGAAAACTTGGTTATGGTGGGCTCCTGGGGTCAGGGACAGTGCCACCCCCAGCACGCCTCCCCGCTAATTCCTGGAGCCGTTTTGCAACTTTTAAAAAGGGGTACGAAGAAGAATGGACACATATACAGACATACTCGTTTTTAAGACCTCAAAAACAAGGTAACTGGGGGGAGGCAGGACGGGCACCCGTTCCGGCATTTGACTTGCTAGAATGCTTGTCTGTCAAATAATTAACAAAGCCAAGTCCACCAAACAGCTAAAAAACTAAGTGAAAGAGTGCTTCACTCTTTATGAAATACTTCTGTCTTTGCCCAAGGCAGCTAGGTTTATGGAAAACTGGGCATTATTTGTACAGTACTGGAATGCATTCTAAAGACACTACATATGTTCAACTTCTGCCACATTTTCTGTGCTGTGATATAATGAACAACCGTTGTTGATGCTAATGTAATTTGTACAAAACACTATTTTAAAGCGTTAAATGTTGTACTGAGGAAATTAAAATGTATAGAACTGTTGCATCTTTCTTCTCCCTCCAGGCTTCTCCATCTGCACAGGATGGGACTCAGGTAAGTGGAGCACACAGAAGAGAATGAAGCCGTACTTGCGATACGAGAAGGTGACTTTCTTCACCTCCTTGGTAACATCTGTCTTCATCTCCTCCGTGGGCTTGGTCTTCTCTCTCAGAGCTGGATTGAAAATGTTTGAGCGGAGCATTCTGCCCACCTCACGCTGGATTTCCTTGAGGTTTTTCTGTTTGAAGGTCACGAAAGCCACATAGGAGGCAAAGTTGTACAGGCACTAAATGCAAAGAAGGGCATTACTGATTTTATTTCATTTCTACAGCACCCCACAGCCAAAGCTTTCTGGACTTTCTGAGGCGTCACTAGTATAAAACTGAAAATAATAATAATGATGATGATGATGATGCCATTTTCACAAGAAGCGGATTCGAGGTGCCTGCATTTGCAAATGAACCACAGGGATTAGAATTAAATTTTTAAAATTTCCTGTATGCCCCTTTCAAGGAGCATCCATTCCCTGGCAGCTGTCCATTCTGTGGATTTCCTCCATGAGGCCGTTGTGGTGTAGCTGACTGCATTAAGTAGCTACAAAATGTTTCCCGAAGAGAGCCTACTCTGAGTGTAATTAGCTAAGAAGTTTTATCAGAATACCTTCACTGGGCCAGATGGCGCTGTCAACACAGGACACATGGAATTAAGCCTGAGAAACCACTGAGCAGGCTGGCCAGCCGGCCGGCCCACCCTGCAAGGTGGCAGCCGACCGCCAGGCCTTCCGCATGCACAGCGGATGCACGGACAAGTGGACCGAGCTGCACAAGCGTGAGGGGCTCCAAACAAGGTGGGAGCGCTCTGGGTGGTGTGTTGCTCTAGCCCCCCACTCTTACTGATCTCTCTCCTGCCCCTGCCCTGTCCTTGCCCAACTAGTACAGGTCCCTCAATTCTTTCCCAAGAAGGCAAAGAGTGCTTGGGTTGGGGAATTCAGAATAAGAAAAAGGAGAGAGGGAGTACATTCAGCCCCCCCCCTCCTCCACTGCCCCAGTCCAATTTAGAGTCCCTCACATGACCTTGAAATGAAAGTGCACCCAGCCAACCAGTCATGCAATGCTTAGTTTGACTCTCGCTTGTAGCCTCTCCCCTCTGGAAAAACACCAGATTGGGCTGACAGCATTCCACTCAGTTTAAGACTATTGCCTCTTGCACTGGACCTGTGGCAAGGAGTTGGCCAGCTTTAAAGCAGTTTGGCTCACTTTGCGGCCACCTGAACTGGGTCTTACATGGGTCTTCCTGTAGTTTATTTATTCCAACACCAGAATTTCATCCTAAAATGGAGGAAAAACACTAGCATCCTTGTTCTTTACCTCAAAGAAGTCCCTGTCTTTCTGTGTGGTTGATATTTTCTTCCTGAAATGAGGAAAAGAAGAAAGGGTGCTGGGCACGGCAGAGGCAGCACAAAGTACCCATTGTAGACACATTAGAATGTGGCAGTGCTTTATCTTCATGCCATGAAATCCCCCTCACCCCACCCCACCCCACCCCACCAGTTAAACACCAGTTAAACACCAGTTAAAAGCTCAAGAGCAAAACATTATTTTTCCTGGTCAGCTGGCGATCCTAAACAGCTGTTAAAGACACATGAGATTCAACAGCTATTAAAGGCACTGGAGCAAGCCAAGAGGATTTCTCTTTCCTCTAGTCAGTCGGCAGTTAGCAGCTCTCCCAATCTCAGCCCAAGAATGCGAACGCAGTGCCCTATGGGAGATCTGCCTTCATATCAATTTGGCTGCATTTGTGCATTTCATACACTCCGCAGTGGGAACCCCACACAGCATTTTCCTGCTTGCATAACAATACCCCAAAGGAAACTGGCATGTTAAAGGTATAGTGCAGCCTCTCCCAAAACCAGGCACACCCAGTTCCTTCCTCAGTGTCTGAGGCACATAAGACTTAAAGGGGGCAAAGCTATAAAAACCGTAATTCTTCTGAGAATGCTTTGTCCAAGGGTCCCGGTACAAAGAAACACCTTTTTTTCCAGATTAAGTAATCCAGAACAAACCCACCAATGCAGATAAGAATTCTGTGCTTTCCTTTGCACAGGGAGCAGAAAAGAACACAATCCTCTGGCCACACAGGATGCTGGCTGTGGGTCAAGACAGCTTGCTGGTGTGTGTGAAAAGGGAACTTTTCCGCACTGTGATCGTGTGTGCGTGCCAAGGTAACAATAGACAAGAAATGTGTAAAAATGTTGGATCCTGCTTTATCCCCTCATACGCTCAAGCTCCCATTCTCGGCTGAGCCACTTGTGTGTGGGGTGGACGCCTGGTATTACAGCCTCGGGTCAAACAACTGTAGCCACCCACATAGGTCGGCTTCGCCAAAGAAAATGCTTCTCCTGTGGGTAAATTCTCAGTGTGCGGCCATGTGGGCGGCCACGTGCAGGATCAGGGCCAGCGTCAAGACCTCCAGCCTCTCCTGCCTGATCCTGTTCATTCAGAGGGGCAGAGCCATTTATTGCACCTGAAATTCTATCTATACTCACTTGCATTTAAATCCCACTGAACTAGCTGGATCTTACTTCTGGAAAGACATGTCTAGGACTGCATTGTAAGATTACTTTTAGCAAAAGCCTGAAGATTGTCAAGACTGCATGTTTACAAAGCATCTGTGCAGCGCTGGCCCTTCCCCAGCTGATACTTTTTATGTTTCACATTTTCACTATGGTTCTAAAACTCAGTGAACCAAAGATGGTTCCTGCGGAGTTTGGGGCAGTGCAAGACTATTGTTTTCCTCTGAAACTTCTTGCCTTCTGTGAACTTTTCTTCTAACAGATCTCTGTGCAGATCTGTTGGATTCCCTCCAACAGTTGCTCTCAGGTGATCCTGCACTCTTCAGCCTGCCTGTCTGCAAAAGCCCAAAGTCTTCACAGTAACACACACAAAAGGAGAAAGTGCAGAAGGAGCAAAAACAATTTCACCACAAAAAGACTGCCATCTTTACCTCCATGCTGCTGGAAGACATAAAACCATCAGAAATTCAGGTGGCTTTTCCTGACATAAGAAATGCAGCAATGGGCAAAGCCGTATTTCTGAATTTCTGCCTGATATGTAGCTGCTAAGGCCGAGAATGCAAAGTGGGCCGTCTGTGCTTATTTCTACTCTGCAGCTGAGAAGCCTCTCTCTCAACCCCTCTGTGGTGGTCGACGGAATCCCTGGAATCTGTTTGATAAAGGTAGGCTTTCTGGTTGGGTCACTGAACAGTTTAGCTCATGTTGGTTCTTGCATGCACAGGATTTGGGGCTGGATTCAGGACTGAGCTCAGCCTGGAATTAACTACTGGTTTGGCATGGCTCTCCCTGCCTAATCAACGAAAAAGATGAAAACCACTCCCCAGCCGCAGGCAAATAGGACAGACGACACAACGCTGCACAACTGGCAGCTGGTAACAGGGATCCACCCAAAGGCGCACTGATTTTGCTGCTTCAGAGCAGGTGGCAAGCAAGGATTTGGCCTCAGCCCAGGTCCAGCCACCATGCAGGAAGGTGTCTTCTCCTTGGCCGCAAAGTCTTTGGACGGTGAGACCCGGGTGCTTTCCAGGACTTGGGGAGCCTCTGGAGTCACCCTGCGCCATCCAGGCCTGCGGCCTACTCCAGGCAGCAGCAGCTCCCTCGGGTGTTCATCAACCCCTGCTTCAAATCACGGGCACACCCGACTCTGGGGCTTCACACATTCTGGTGACTCCTCCCCACCACAGGGCCCCCCAACCTTTTCTGGCCAGTGGGCATATTTGGGATGTCAGGGTCATGCTCACAAATAGCTGCCATGGCAGGCAGGGAGACTCCCTCGCCCATGAAATGGCCGCCACGCTGGGCGTGGCCTGTGACAGAGCACCCATTTCCCAGAAGGGAAAGGGGCAGGACTAAAATAAAAGTGACTTGCCCAGGAACCTCAGTACAAAGAAGAGGTGGGGAGCTGAGCTCCACAACACAAACCCGCTCTGTCAAACCCAAATGAAGCTGGGTTGGAGGGCAGCAGTTCCTCAAGGATGTGGAAGCTTAAAATATAATAAAAGGAAATGCCAGGCCATACAACTGCCACCAGGAGGGGCAGGCAGCTGGGCTGGAGGCAAGAGGGGCCCATAAACACATTGGGGGGCCCAGCTCTATCCCTCTCTTCTGGCAACGCAAACTCTTTGCAGCAGAAGGCAGAATTTGGGGGCAGAAGGCAAGGGGCCATCCACATTCCATCAAAAGAAGAGGGTAGAAATCAGACTTTTAAAGCAGTGTGAACCTCCCAGAGGGCTTGGGCGTTGGGGCAGTACAGAAATGAAATGGAAGAATGACTAACCACCTGCTAGCTGCTCGTCATCTTCACCATCATCACTGTTACTATTACTAGTGCATTGCATTGATGCCCTGCCTTCCTTCCTTTTGTGCTTTCCAAGCTTACACAGAACTTCTCCATTCCATTTTACCTTCATAATAGCACTCTTGGGAGAAGGCTGGGCTGGGGGTGAGTGACGGGCCCAGATTCAACCAGGGGGTTCATGGCTGAGTGGGAACTAGAACCCGGATCTCCTGGGTCCCCAGTCCAACACTCTAACGAGCACACCCACCTCCATTCTCTGAGTCGGGCTTCCGGTGCTGCTTGTGGGAGAGGAGACTGCAGAGAAACAGGCCCTGGAAGAGGGGAGGGTGGAGGTCCCATTTGAGAGACAGTGTGGTGCAGTGGTTAAGGGCACAGGACTGGGACTCAGGTGATCCGGGTTCTAGTCCCAGACTCTCAGCCCAACCCACCTCACAGGGCTGTTGTGGTGGGAATAAGATTGGGAGGAAAAGAATGATGTAAGCCTCGTGGAATTTTGCATAAGAGAGCAGGCGGGATATAAATCTAATAAATAAATAAATGTGCACTCAAAATCAGGTCACCCACTCCTTCTTGATGATGAAAGTAGTTTCATAGGGACCTGCCACTGACACCGCCTAGTTTCGCCCTAAGCATTTGCAGTGGGAGGTCTGCTTGTTCTGTGCATTTACAGACTGGCTGCATTTTTATTCTGCCTTTCAGAAAATGAAAACCCACATAGGAAGCCACGCAGAGGAAGTGGGGAAAGCAAGAGTTCACAAGAACGCCTCACGGGGCGGGCCGGTCTGTGCATGCAGCACAACGAGGAGCTCACTGCATGCTTGAGAGTTAGATATGGCAAGCACAATCGATTTAATGTTTCTACTTTCTGAAGAAATCTTTGGGAGAGAGAAAAGCCGGGGTTCCTGCATCGTTAATAGTTCCGCAGAAGAGACATCTTCTCCAGCAAGCCCTGTTAAGCGTGCAAGGTGCCCTGAACCTCCTTGCCTCTGGAGGGCGAGACGCAGAGGTCGGACGGGAATGCTTCCAAGCCAGGTGCATTGCCTTGACACACAGCATGATGCGCGGGCAGCTGGGCAGGGCTGCCACTTTCAAAGCAAAAGAGGGAAGCACCGTGAATGGAGGAAGCAGATGACGTCTCAAGTGCATACAAAAAGACGGGAAGGGTGGCCTGAAATCAGTATTTTTCTGCACCCTTGAGATTTCTCTGCCTCTGCTGATCTGCGCTTGCAGTTTTAACCACTGCTTCACATATGGACAGATGGCGCTTTTCCCACCACACATCAGAGTGACCATAAAAGCTGCACCAGCCAGATGGCTTGAATGTTGAAGGCATCAGAGCAGGGCAGCCAGCAACAAGATAGCAGCTTGGCCCCTAAGGCAGGAGAGGAGCCCAGAAGCCTTCCTGAGCCCTTAAATTTGCCCCTTCTTCAGGTTTTGCTCCAGTCTTTCCCCCTTTCACACCCTCTCCTTCTCCTGGCATGCCCAGAAGAGCGCTTGCCTCAGCAGGCAGGATGGCTGGGACTGGGGAGCACCTGGCAGGAAGCAAAGGGTCCGTTTCATCTCCAGATCTGGCAACATGCACAAAGGTATTGAGGGAATTTCCGGAGGGTGAGCCAGCAGCCCCACCGGAACAGCTGAATTCTCCCTGGCCATGGAAAATAGCCAGGCTCTCAATGCCACAGGTGCCCCTCTATCCAGCAGACTATAAACATTGGTATTCAGGGACTAACAGACACTCCTCTGTGATCTTGCCAAGCTTGCAAGCCCTCACTGAAGGCCTTGCTGGAAGGAGGAGTCCTACCTGTGAAGCAGCTATGCCCCCTGCCACTTCAGCCAGAGTCACCTGAGCACAGCGGGGCGCTGCATCCCGGCATGGCCCTCACTTTTTGGCTGGCAAGCCACAGCCGCATGGGTACAGATGCTTCTTCTCACACCGACAACATTCAACTGGTGAAACAGGGAGGCCGCCCACAAACGGACCCTTTGCGCTGAATGAGTAAGAGCCCCGGTTCCCAGCGCTGTGTGTGCGTCTGTCGCCAGCAGCAAAACCCTGCACAAGCCTTTCTGGGGCTACCCAACAAGTTCACACTTGTCCTCAGCATCAGGGCAATGGTCAAAAGACAGACGTTCAAACTACAGCCCAAGAACTAAACTTGATTCATGGATACCTCAGGGCAATGACCTTTCCAGGATAAGCTTGGCTTTGCATTCCAAGACAAAGAGATGGGCTCTTCCTTCATGCTTCTGCCCAAGAAGCAAACAGAGATGTGTTTGGGGGCATTTACTAACCCCAGGTATTTTCTAATGTATCCTGAAATGGTAAAAAGCCTCACAATCAGAAATGTTTGTTTGGTGTTAGAGTAAGTACGTGCAAACTCAAAATATTAGAAAAGTATCATCAACAGTCAAGGTAAAACTATGCAAGACACACAGATACACACACACCCCCCTTCTCTGTGACACAAAAGCTCCCCAATGAAATCTCCTGGCTTCTGCCCACTTCCTGACACTCACTGCAGTTAACCCTTTCTCTCTAGTAAGGTCTTGGGGAAATTCCACTGGGCATTTTTACAGGACACTGCTTGGTTTGGGAGAAGTGAGATTCTCCAATGGCAAAACCCAGTTGATTCTGGAGCGATTTTATACTACAGGTGTGTTTTTGCTTCCAGAAAGAAAATGGTAAGAGATAAGAGCTTGAAAATTGGGAATATTAAGCAGGTGGCAGAAGATGGCGATGTCAGAAAAGGACTATGTTATGAACATTCTGGGGAGTAAAGTGCATTTGAGGTAACTTTGTTTCCCCACCTGACCGAAAGATTTTAAATGCTCCATCAGACCAGCCAAAGCCCACTACTCCAACTCCACATTTCTCCAAAAGGGACAGCACTTGCGACTCCCAAATGCAGTTTGTTCCAAGACAGCCCTTGCATTTGAAGCCTGCCTTCTCTGACCCAAACCGCACTTTCGTTTTTTTCCCCTTCCTACACAGACAGCTAGTCCGCATCCCCTTTAGTGGTGGGGGAAACAGAGGAAGGCACTGCCTCCTTTCCAGCATTTTCCCACCATTCGGGAGAGCTAAGGAAGTTCATCTGAAAATTAATTCCAAAAAACGCTTCCATCAAGCATCCTGGCTGATTAATGCGACTATCTGAGTCAAGAGTCCGGCCAGGTACGAGCTGAAGGCAACCCCTCATTTCACAGAAATCTGATATTAAAACACCCAGCAATACTTGGCCACCTTACAATAATTACTTGCATGCTAACCCTTCCAGACCCCAGAAGTTTTGCTCCACTGATTTCACTGGCATCTACAGAAAAGGATGAGACTCGGGGTTGTGTTATGTTTTTCTTTTCAGTGAAATCTCACTGGGATATTGCGTGTTAATAGCCTTTGTTTAAGATCACGGCTTTGCAGAGATTCCCTCCTGTACATGTTCACCCAGAAGTTATGCCTACTTACTTTGGAGCAAACCCCACTGATCTTAGTATGACTTGCTTCCAGGTGAAGAAGCAAAGGACTGACCTCCACATTTTCCTGCACTTTTGGTCCAGGATTCGCCAATGTCATTGGCCATTACAGTTTTGCCCAGCCAGCCAGAAACTAAGGTTTGACTCCTTTACCAAGCAAATTACTTGCTTCAGAATGATGTTATGCCCAGAGGAAACATTTTCCGGGCACAACCACTGCCTTACTTTCCACAAGCCATGTGATGCTGCTCCGACATTCCCAGTCCAAGGATAAGGATGCAGTACATCTCAGCAAGGTACTTTTTTGTCACCGCAAGCTTAATCTGGTTCTCCTGCATTTCTTTCTTTTCCAGTACGCTGGGCTTTCTGTTGGACAATAAAAAAGTGGGGAGGGGCCATAAAAATCACGAAAGTTAGCTCTTCTGACGTTTGCCTGATCCCTGACCATGGGTAGGACACTAGGAACATCTTTTTCTCACTGCAAATGTCTAGCTCCAATAAAAGAAAGATTAGCTCACAGGGCAGGGAAGGCACACCCCAGATGGCTTAGCAAGACTCCAATGATCCAGGTGGATCCATTTTATCCTGTCTGTCATTAAGTGATAAGAGGAGAATGGTGGTGGAGGCGAACAAACAAAGTGAATTGTGCTGGAATATCTCCAGTTAGGTCAACAGAAGATGCCGGGAACATCAATGTTAACATTTCCAAACCTCTGGTTTAAAATCTCATCAGGGTCAGCACAAAAGGAACAAAAGGATAGACCTGGAACGCAGCAGAGTTAAACTATGGGATTTACTACCACAACAAGAAGTGAAGGACACCAGCTCGGTGAATGGCTTTAACAGGATCAGACATGTTCTTGGAGAATGAAGGACGCCAAGGGCACCTTGCCATAATGGCTTTATATTACCCCCAGTATCACAGGGACTTGCCCCTGTGCACCCGTTGCTGGGGAACATGGGTGGGAGGGCGTTCATGCACTTGTGTTCTGTTTGTTCTCACTGGCACAGAATCATGGGCTAGATAGGAGAATTTGACCCGGCAGGGGTCTTCTTACATTCTTAACCAATCATGGTATCATTAAGCACACCTATCAAGGGGCGCATGGATTGTACTATCATAGAGTTTCCAATCCAAAGTACTTTGGCTCATTCATCAGCTCAAATGGAGACTGTACCAAGAAAATGGAAAAGCCTGCAACTTGGAAGAGCAGCTATGAAGGAACTAGAAAAGAGAATCAAGTCTAAGGACATTTCAAGGGGTCCAAGACCGAGATCACTAAGTATGGGTGGACAGTCCAGAAAACTGGCAGGAGGAAAACTGGTGCATTTGAAGCACAGTGCGGGGAGAGCTTTGCAGATTCCCTGGACCAACAGAAAGACAATAAACTGGGTCAGAGATGTAATCAAGTCAGAACTTTTCCTGGAATCAAAATGCTGAAACTGCCATACTTTGGGCACATCATGAGAAGGCAAAACTCCCTGGAAAAGACAAAAGCCACAGGCAAAACAAGAAAGGGAAGACCAAATGTGAGATGGATGGATTCCATAAAGGAAGTCACAGCCTTGAATTTACAAAAGCTGAACAGAGCTGTCACGGATAGGACATTTTAAAGGGCTTTTGTACATAGGGTTGCCATAAATCGGAGACATCTTGATGGCACACAGCAGCAGCAAGAACATCAATTTAAATGGGGTTTGTTTTATGTTAGAATTTCATGTGGAAAACTGCAGCTTTGACAACCCCACTTTCCTTGGCATCTCTGGGAAGCAAGCAAATCAGTGTCATTGGCCCCTGTTTGCAAGTGCAACAACTGGGAAGACACTTAGGCCAAGAAACTGGATCTGGTGGTCTTAAAAAGTGGAGGAGGGAGCAAAGGAGGGCTCTTTCCTTATTCCAAGGCCACACATTATGCGTTCCTGTTTTTATCTGGGGCCACAAAAGCAACAGATCATGGGGAAAAGTCTGAAGGGACCAAGGGATGCAGAAGCGACCTCAAGGAGCTGCAAAGGCACATGGGTCCTGGAAATACTAAGCGGCAGAGACTCTGACAGGAAGCAGCCGGGGTGCCCAAGGGAAGCGTGGGAGGATGCGGGATGCACGGGTGGCGTCCCAGGAGGCTGTGGGGGACTACAAAGGTGCCCGGCATCAACAAGCAACTCCGGCAGGTGGTCGCCAGTCAGAGGAGCGTGACCCAGCACCGCAACGGAAGAGTGCCTGGAATTTGCTTGACTGTCCAGCCACTGCTCCAGGCAGCCCAGTCCTGGTCAGTCTGATTTGTGGCAGCTCTCTAAGGAGTAACTGGGGCTTGCTGTAGAAGCACACGCAGCAGGTCCCAAGTTCAATCCCTGGCATCTCCAGGTTGGGCTAGGCACGAATCCTCTGAGTCCCTGGAAAGCGGCTGCCAATCAGTGTAGACAAGCCTGGCCCAGACTCAATGGTCTGTATTAGGCAGCTTCTTGTGTTTTAATGTCCTGAGCTTAGAGATGTGTCTCAGCTGGAGATATCTTTAATGCACACGACTGTAGGATTGAAATCATGGCCTTCTACGTGCAAAGCGGACCCCTCCTAAGCATGGCAGGGCATCGTCTACCCTGTGCTTAAACAAAGTCCGCATGTTTGGCACATGCACTGGGGCTGCGGGGGCATGAAAAGATGAGGAAGTTCTGTTGACAACGTGGCAGTTCAAAGGGGTCCCCAGCCCCCTGGGGCTGCTTAAAGGGCTGCAAAGGGACACCTGTTCTGCTAGGGGTTCCCTCTCACCAGCTGAAAAACACGGATGGTTCCAACCCCACATACTGAGAAACAGAAACTCCTGCAGCCTGCTCCAATCATGCACACTTGGCCAATGTTCCACTCATGCACACTTGGCTTGTCCCACTGTTTTACATGCTAGTGCCACTAATGAAGGCGATTATGTAGGGCAATGAAGCACCACCCTGTGACCCCCAGCAGTTCCATTTGGCCTCTTCTCTGACTAATCGGAGCACCTCCCACATACTGTTGCTCCAAGTCTGTTGTTCTAGTCACCAGGACTAGAAACTTGGCACTAGCCCATTTAAACTCAATGGACTCCAGTTTGACTGCCATGGCTCACTCCTGAAGAGTGGCTAGAGATACTTGGTCCGACTCTCCAGCCCTTTCATAGGACAGTTTTCCAGGGCTCCTGGGGTGGGAGACACGACCTCTGAGACAGGATAGATTGGGCTTGCATCTGTGGCCGCTGGCTGCTGCATTCAAAACCCCAAACCAGCGTTCGAACTGGGCTGGCACTGTGGAATCCACAGGAATGTGAGAAGGCATGCGGGGAGGATATTCAGTGGGGCCTGACCCCGGAATCTTATGCAAATGGCTGGGCCCAGCCTCATTTGGGTGGAGAAAGCCCCTTGCATGCCTTGGTACTGGAGAGGCTGGGAGGGACTGTGGGCACGAGGTCTCGGGGAGGAGGCGCACCTGCTGTGCACTAGCGCAATCCCTGAACTCTGGAAGACACCCATAAAAGCCCTCTTACTTACCCCATAAAAGATTTGGGTTTCATCTCCAGGGCTATTTTTTCCAAATAAAAAGAGATATAGTACAGCAGAGCCATGAGGAAATCATCCAGCTGCTTGCATCTGGTGAGGAAAAGGTTAAAACCCAAAATGTCACACACGCAGACATCATCACACAGCAGGAGCACAAGGCAAATAACGGCATGTGCTGGCTGTTCCAACCATTTCCCCTTCCTGTTACAGCCCCTTTCCTCACGTTGGGCATCGCTTTGAGGTTCTGCACAGGCCTGCAGATTTGGGGGAACAGGCGCAAAGGGCTTCAGCAGGAAAGAGAGCTTCGGGGTCTCCAAGGTGCAAGCAGAAGGTACTGCAAAGGGTTTGGGATCTTGGGCTTTATCTGCTGTTAAGCCGCAGTAGGAGTGCTTTTCTGCTTTCTCCCCTAGTTTGGCAGCCAAACTTCCCATTCCCATATATAGCCTCTTCCATTAATTACTTTTCTGAAAAAAGGCCCTGTCAAATATTGAACGCATGCACATAATGCTGATGGAATGTGTGAGAACCTAAGAAAGCCTCTGTTGGCAAAGAGCAGGTCTGCGTGCTCGCTTCAGACCTGGATCGGGGCTGAGCTAGGCATGCCGCAGAGGGAAGGGACACAGCAGACAAGATGTTGCCCTGCCTAGAAGACTCCTCCCAAGTGGAAAATTAGCATGTTGTGCTGGTTTTCCACTTGCAGTGACCTTTCCTTTAATGTTGGGAGAACACAAATCCCCAGATCACAGAATAGTAGAGTTGGAAGGGGCCATGAAGGCCATTGAGTCCAACCGCCTGCTGTTGCAGGACACCACGTGACACCATCCCACTCAGCTGGCTGTCCAGTTTCTTCTGGAATGTCTCTGGTGTGGGAGAGCCTACCACCTCTCCAGGCAGCTGATTTCACTGCAGTATTGCCCTGATAGTGAGGAAGCTTTTCCTGAAGTCCAGCCTGAATCTGGGTTGACACAACTTGACTTGATTATTCCGTGTCCTACACTCCGGCATCAGCAAGAAGAAATCTTGACCTTCCTCTTTGTGGCAGCCTTTGAGGTCCTTATAGAGGGATCTCATGTCCCCCCTCAGCCTTCTCTTCTCAAGGCTGAACATGCCCAGTTCTCTCAGTCTCTCCTCACAGGGCAGTGCTTCCAACCCCTAGATCATTTTTGTTGCCCTCTGCTGGACCCTTTCTAATTTACCTGCATCTTTCTTAAATCTGGGTGCCCAGAACTGGACACAGCATTCCAGATGAAGTCTGACTAGTGAGGAGTATAGAGGAACCACTACTTCTCGTGATACTGTTTTAGATGTTTGAGGCCTAAAACCCCAGAAGCCTTGCCAGCATGCTCAGAGGCCCAGAGTGATGGAGCAGGGGTCCAAAACCTCTGCAGGCCCACTTTCTGTCTGCCCTGATGGACATGGATAGTTTAAAGCTACCTGGCCCCTGCTAGACCCTTGCAGCCCAAAGGGACACTTCCCATCACCTCTGCTCACCTGTATGGACGGTCCGGAGCTTCCGGGCAACTGGGGAGCACGGGGTGGACGTGGACAGTGCCACGTAGCATTTGAAGTGGCCCCTTAAAGGCTAGCACATTTAGAGGGAGAGGACTTTATATCTGGGGAAGTGACTGGATCATAATGACATTTTAAAATAAAGGAACATGGATCTTTTTGTTAACAGCAATGGCTGCTTAGCCAAAACGCTTACTGGTTGCCTTGGTCTAGTCCTGCTCTTGCAGCTTAGCCATCCTCACAGGGCTGTTGTGATGGTAAATGGGGGCGGGGGTGACATTACTGTACATCACCCTGAGCTCAGTGGAAGGAGCCTAAACTTCAGGCTCCATCTAACAGAGTCATATATCACTGACCATATTTTAAAACATTGCTAAGGACTTTACAAGAAAATTTAATACATTAAATATATAACAATATACACTAAAAGCAATTTAAACAGCTAGTAACTGTGAAAACCATGTACGTGAAACATTAATAAAAGCATTTAAACCACTCCAGCACCGTCACTGCAAATAACGGCCTGGGCTGCATAACTGTCAGGTCTTTTGCTGGCACCTGAAGCAAGCTGCAGGTGGTGCCTCTCAAATCCCAGGGGGAGGCCATTCTGTAAGATGGGTGCCAGCACCAAGAAGGCTCACCTCTTGGTTGCTACAAGAGGGGAATATGCAGGTTGCAGTATAATTGGCAAGGCCTCCTCTGATTAGCTAAAAGAGTTCATAGATCTGTACTGGGACTCTAACTGGTAACCAGGTCCCCAGTTGTCCCCAGAACCTTTATGTATTTTATTTATTCTATGTATTTTTTTTTGTATTTATATGTGGGATTTTAATGATTGTAAGCCGCCCCGAGGCTTATGCGAAGGGGGTGGCATATAAGCTGTCTAAATAAATAAATAAATATGCCAATAGCAGGATCGTGGGTTTGGCTCAGCAGTTAAGAGACAGCCAATGCTAGTGTATTGGGTATATTAACCCAGCAATCATCACAACAGCCCTGTAAGGTAGATCAGTGTTATACTCATGTAACTGCTGCTGGGGCAATTGCTTGTCTCAGGCCCACCTGCGAGTTCATATGACAGCTAAAACGTTGGCTTTCCTTCCTGACCGACAATCCCAGTCAACTTCCTTATATGTAAAGTGGGGGAGACCCAACGCCAGCTGGAGGGAGCTCATAGGGGCCGTGGCCTGGTGTTAGTGTATTTGGGGCTTTCTGCCATTCTTCCAGTCATGGGATTGTAAGAACCTGCTCAGGATTTAGTCATGATGATGGAACAAAGAGGATTTCACTCACTGTGATTGCCCAGGCACGATACTCAACATCCAAGGCCCTCCTCCAAGTGCCAATTCCGAGCGAGGGTCAGAGGGCAGCAACAAGAGCGAGGGCTTTCTCAGTGGTGGCCCCTTCTATGGAATGACCTCCCCACTGGGAGCCTGCCTGGAGCCAACCTTGTCATCTTTACGGAGCCAGATTCAGATGACCCTTTATGCCAAGGCTTTTAAAAATATGCTTGGTTATCCAGGGGCTTGAAGGGATTAACCATTCCAGGTTGTTTCTCATTTACAGGGTCAGTCTTTACTGTATTTTTAGCTGGTTTTAAAAAATGTTTTAAGATTTTATTGTCTTTTTTGGACTGTTGTAAACTACACAGGGGGTCTTGACTATTATGAGAGAAATACAGAAATATCAGTATTGTTCTTGCTGTTATTTTATAGTCCTCTACCAGCTTCACTGGCTTCCCATCGAAGTCTGGGCTCAATTCAAGGTGTTGGTAATCACCTATAAAGCCCTTAATGGCTTGGGACCCGGATACCTGAAGGAACGCCTGCGGCCATATTTGCCCTCCCGCCCCTTGAGATCGGCAGCAGAGGCTCTCCTCCGGGAGCCTTCCGTGAGAGATATCAGGAAGCAAAGTCCTGGCGCTGTCGTTATTTGTTTTTCGGCGCCAGGCCAAGACCTTTTTATTCAAACAATATTTTAATAATGTTTAATATTTATAGGTTTTAATTGTGCAGCCAGTGTGTTTCCAGGTTTTAATTGTAATTGTAATTGTTATTTGTTTTGTATTTATTTATTTCTGTGAGCCGTCCCGAGGCTATATAGCAAGGGAACAGCATATAAAAACTTTAAATAAATAAATAAATAAATAAGATACTGAGACATCCAACGGGAAAACAGAAATACCAAGCTGCATACCTCATAACTATGGAAAAAGAAGGGACGTGAAAGGAATCGTCTTCATGGGCCAGAAACAAAGCTGCATCTAAAATATGCAAAGTAAAGGAAAGCTACATCAGAGAAATCCCATCAGCACAATCTTAACAAATGTTTTCACAAACTGCTTTATGGAGTCACATTTTTATTCCCACCTCCTTTCAGGATGCTCTCTACCTTTTTTCTTCCCTACACCTGGGAAGTCGGCTGGAGACACATCACTGGTGGCAAATCACCCAGGAAGCCTCCCCAGCTGTGACTGGACCTGCTCTCCTGGCCTCTTCCAATCTGACATCTTCCAATGCAGTGGACTACAATTCCAAATATCCACAGCCAGCAAGGGAAAGGCTGTTATCCATTGTACTTGACCCTTTGTCACTAGACTACCTTCTGATCTGCTCTGACAGAGCTGAAAAGCAGTGGCGGGTTTTTTCTGCCTGCCTTTTTTTCTGTCTGAACATGAATAGGACTGTACCTTTACTTACTTAAACTCTACTGATATTTCATAAGTAGGGTCTCAGAGAAACAGTAAAATGATAATTATGTCCTAACAATTGTCCCCCCTCCCCCACAACAATCCCAATCTATCCCAAATTCAAGGACTGTGAGATTGGGGGAGTGGAGACAGACAGACATTATGAGAAAAAGAACACACTGCTATCTCGAACAAGTTACTAAGAATAGATCCCACTGAATTTTGTTGGACTTACTTTCAGAATAGCCAATATTACCATCACCCTGTGAAAGTTTAATGCAAAGTAAGAATAAGGAAAAGAGCCCCTTAAACTTAGTCAAAAAGCAAAGGTAACTGTGTTTGCCAGAAGAAAAATTCCCAAATCCATATCAGCACAATATCATTGTTAGGGTAACTCAAGGTCACAAAAATGCATCTTCATCAGACAAGATGGTAGAAAAAGCAGGTTAAGTTCGGCTAGGAGAGGAGAGACTCACTTGAACTTTAAGACATGAAGGTTCTATGGTCAAAGTGTTCGGAAGAAACAGGGAAAGTGGCTGCAGGAATTCACATTAGGCTGTGATGGTTTCTGGTTTCTGTCCTGGGACTACTCCAGGAATGCTGGAACAAAGAATCAAACAAGCAACGGGTGATCTGCCCTTTCTGAGCTTCTCCTCTCCCACCACGCATCTCATTTTTGTAATACCTTCCCTGATAAAGAGCTCTGGAGAGCTCAAAAACTTGCATGCTTGTCGTGACCTCAGGCTGGCCTAACAAAGGTATTACACGAATACGTATTTTGGAATTTTCCTTGAACTCGGCTTTATTTCATCTTGACAACAGTCCACCTTTGTCCCAGGAGTACAAGCTCAGACCAACACAGGGGAGTATGATAAAGTCAGCTAGGAGAGGTCCATGCCCTCCACCCTGAGTTCCTCGGAGGACAGGCAGAACAAAAGTGCAGGAAATGCAGCCAATACTGTGTGTGCCGCCCGTTCTCTGGAGCTCTGCTGGGGCCTGCCTGGTCTCTTGTGAACCGAACGTTCCCACGAAAGGATGGTGACTGTTCAAGCAGGAATGTGCAGAGGAAGAGTCTTGAGCCGACGACGTGGCTTCTCGACCATCAAGAATGCTACTGCGCAGCCAAGGGGCCTCATGCTGCAGGACCTTATGAAGTACCGTGCAGCAGGCCAGACTGCCCACCACGCTTGCGCCACTCCCTGGCTCAGGAAGAGGAAGGTCCTTCCCATCCCCTGCGGCCTGATGGTTTTACGAGTGAATACCAGGGGCAGGATGTGGGACTTTTCTGCCTGCAGACCTGGCACTTGGCCACTAAACTCCGTGCAAGCAAATGTGAGGGGGCAGGAACACGTGTCAACAACTCAGCCGGGTTGCCGTGTGTTGGAGGCCACACCGGGCCCGCAGATATGTGCAAGTGTAGACGTGGCCTAAGAGGATGAGGACTAGAAAGAAAAGGGCGTAACACAGGCCCTAGTTTTCTTGGAGGAGGTAAAACGCCTCCTGACTGCATTTCTTTCACTTATTCGTATGTGATGTTTTTATATCCACAGCCAATAAAATACTTGTGCATTGAGTAATAGAAAGAAGAGAAGCTGCTACTGATGATGCTGATGATGATCACAGAAATATAGAAAAGCTTTAGACTGCTGGTGGGACTCACAAAATTCATTGGTTTGCCATACAAAAGCATTCCCTGCACAGAGGAAAAAGACTTTTGGGCCGAACTAGACATGATACTAAATGTGCGCTTGTATTTCAGATGCATGCCTTTAAAAAATTCAAACAGCAACCACTGCGAGGGCTGATAAGAAATGGGAAGTCTGACTCTTTATTCTCCTGCTGAGATTTTCATCAAAATGACTTCTCTGAAGTTGCCAATGGGCTTTGGATGACTGCTCCTGCTGGGACAGTCCTGGGAAGTCCTGGGTGGGCAATTGTCCTGCTAGTGGGTGAAGCAATGACATAGTTCCACTAGCTGAAAGAGATCATCAAGTTATATCTATATCATGGGCAGGCAGAAGGCAGATTGGAATCTGTTGGGAGTTGTCTGGATGATTTGCAGTAGGGTTTCTGACTCCTAATTGTGTGAATAAAACAGAGGAATCACTCTTCTGAATTAGGTTACTGAAGCAGCAAGCTTGGATTTCTTGTTTGAAAGGAATCCTGAGCTTAATTCCTGCACAAACTACCCTTTCCCAAGTACCCTGTTCCTTAATTCCTTGCCTGCCTGAGCCACTGTTTTGCACATGGATCCAGTTGATGGATGCAAATCATGCCGGCTGTGTAAACTAGAGCTGTGGGTTCAGAATAACTCTGAATCGGATATTCTGAAGAGGCCCAATCATCAAGCTATAGGTGGTGTAAAACCACTCTGTAATCCAGTGCAAAGCACTTGTGCTTACTCACACTTAACATCTTCTAGAGTAATCAATTCACTCGGCGCTTTCTTCACCATGCGAGGTGTTTTGTCTTCTCGGCTAGAGGATCGTACAGTAAGAATATCTCGAAATAAGCTAGGCCTACAGAGAAGATGGGGAGGGGAAAGAACATACACTGCGTTTCTCCAGGCACAGAAAACAAAGCAATGCTGAGAAACCCTTTTTAAGTAGAAGAGAAAGGGCACCTCCAACCTCAGATGGACAAAAATAACACACACGGAAGACAATCCTTTATCCTCTTGATATTGTCTGGGAGGCCATAAAATTACTTGGAGCCCAAGCTTGGCTCCAGCATAGAAAGAACCACATTAATGGAAATGTATCACCACCCTCGTCTCATAACAAGCTGCTCAGATCATTTCTCCATTTATTTTTTATTACTGTTACTATTATTTATTACTTGTCTTATTTATGAGTTCTTGTATAGCCGAAACTCTTATGGTGACATATATAACCTACTCATCCTACATACATACGATAAACACAATAAACCAAAGATGCACATTATTTTTAAAAAAGTTTTAAAGGTGGCACCGTAACTTTAAATAGTTTTAAAAGTGTTAGGTGTCCAAGCAACTAAACTTAGGAAAAGTTTTAAATATTATAAAAATGTTTTAAATACATCATCTATAATAATAAAAGAGTATATGCATCTGTTCGGCATACATACTAATGGGACTCCAAGAGGGTACATTTTGGGGTTATTTGATTTAAAAACACATTCATATAGTTTAATTAAATGCATCTGTGTCAAGGGACCCTACCTTGTCTCAGCTGCGGGGCACATTTTGGATTCTGAGGGAGTGTTGCTGGCACTCCAACAAAACAGCTGCTGCGGACTTGCTCATTCATAAAACGGCTGCTCTGGTAGGCCTGGCTTTCACAACAGTCTCACATCTCCAAAAGCAAATGGGTGAGACTAAAAGGAATGTGATGTGGCTAAGAAACTATGTGCACAGTGAGGTGGGATCTGAATCCAAAAAAACATGGCCAGCCTTTTGCACTTCAGCAAAGCAATCTCCCAGCAAGTTCCCCCTTCCCTGCTTTTAGTCGAAGAATAATAAAAATAAACATCAGGGAGGGCAGGGAACCTGGGAGGCAGCAACAGCTCCTCATTACAGACCTTGCTGGAGGATCATGGTGTTGAAACCTGCAGTACATCTTTGGCTATACAGCTATACAGCAGCCCCACCCCTGGGAAATAGAGTGGCTCAGCCCCTCCCTCAGGTGCATATGGGGTGCCCCATGGCAAGGGTCATGCCTAGGAGCACCACTGGGCTTGGCTTCACTCAGAGAATGTGGCAGAGTGTGTTTAACTGTGGCAGTCATGGAAGTTTGCTGGAAAGATTCACAATCCCAGACTCAAGGCTATTCCAATCTGTACAGAAGCAGAAGTTTGAAACTAAAGCCAGCATGAGCCATGTTTGTACGGTTGCAGCTCTGAGAGTTTTTAAGCGGAATCACCTCTCCAGTGTTTTTGATCCAGGTTCCTGAAAGTGGATGGTTTTGCCTTTCTTCGTCCTCTCCTTAAGTTCCTTGGGTTCCTCCTTTGGCTGGGCACTGGGGCATAAAGAGAGAGGCTTTTTCAGTAACAGAAAATGCCCTTGTGAATGGCAATGTGCACAACTCCCTGGTAAGCAAATAAGAGACCAATGGAACATGGCGTCCCTTTTACTATGTGAGAATGACTACCTGGCCAATCAGAAATTCTCAGTGCAAATGCTACTCTTCTGCTAGCCAGGGACTTTTCTCTGGGGGTGCAGGCAGACGTAACATTCATGGTGCAGGGGGAGGGCTCAGCATGCATCTCTCACCTGCAGGGAAGCCCAGGTTAAAAGCAGAAGTACAAACAACTAATGGAAATGTGCCCCTTCCAAATTGTTTCAGTTGTACTACGTACCTGCCTTACTGAGACTTATCTCAAAATATGACTCTAGCAGAGATTGGAGGGTGGGCGAGTTTAAGGTGAGGGTACTAAATGTCAGCACTGTACACGAACCCTTTCCACTTCACAGGTGCAGTACAAGGTTCTGATTTTGGTTTGGGGTTGTTGTTTTTTTCAAAGGGCTGGGCACATCTGGACCGACTGCTTTGCAGGAATGAAACTGTCTTATTAACCACCTTCATAGCTAGAAGGATTGGATGCAGGGTTGGGGCATTATAGCTGCCTCCCTCCTTCTGCTGTGGAATGCATCCTCCCCATCACCCTGCGAGGTCTACTGGGCATCCTTTCCTTGATAAGAAAAACCCCACCTCCGTTCCTTTTGCCACAAGGACACTATTAATATGTGCTGAGGACTGATTCTGCTTCCACTGCTTGGCTGGTTGCTGAGTAGTTTTAGATTTCACTTGCTTTAGTGCTTTCAGTACTATTCTCTGCTCTTAATGTGAGGTGCCTTGTGAACGAGACCACCAAAAAGTATGTACAAATAAATAAGGGTGCAATTCTGTACAAGTTTAGAAGCACAAAGTCCTTCCGCTCCCAGCATCCTCCAGCCAGCCATGGGAGCTGTAACACTTGTTGTAACCTGTCTAAATGCACAGTGTCCTTAATAAATAAAACAGAACGCCAGAGAAGGAAAGGCAGGGAGAATTCTTACCTTGAAAATTCAAGAGTTCTAGTCTCTTCTCTCCAGTACCACAAACCAGGATTGGCTTTTGTCAACTGCAAGTTTTAAAATATGGAGGTATTCACGTATTTAAATCTATACTTTTCTGTGTTAAGATTTCCCAGTAGAAAGGCCAGTGAATTTGGCAGTACTGTTATGTTGACTGTTTATCTAAAATATTTTTAATCTGACTGTTAAACCAAAAATGGCTCTCAGAGCAACTTACAAAGGACAGCAATTAAGCAATTCACCCTCACCCTTTCAACCTGAAAGGCCAATAACAAGTATAGATAAATTCAGTCCCAAGGCAAGGACAGCCAATGGAATGCACAAGGCTACTACTGGCCCACTAACAGAATCCAGATATGCCCTGAATTCCCAGGGTCTGATGTCAGGGTCTGCCCCATGTCTTCATTTCTTTTATCTGAAGTAGATTTATCCCATACCTCAGCTAAAAAAAGGGGGATGGCAAATTGACCAGCAAAATAAGATAGTCCTTACTTTCAGACTTATACTTTAAAAGGCATGACACACAAGGAAAGCGGATAAGGAGGGAAAAGGAAAACATGAAGGACATTTTCAACAGGGTTGGTGGAATGGCCCTGTTTTGCCTCTGATCTCTGAAGTGGAAGGGTGAGATAGTCCAACTCGCTTCCGCCTCCTTCTGACCTCCTTTTGCACAAAGTACTGGGCAACTGCTAGCCCAGGAAGAGTATGGGGAGCAAGAAGAAGAGAGGGGAACCCACGTGGAGCAGGTCCCGCTATTTCAAGTTGTAAAGGGCAGGATGTGAAAAAAGGGCAAACATTAAACAAGAAAGTGAGAAAGGGATATAAAATAAACACAGCAACAACAAAAATCAACATCTTCCACTTTTGACTATACCACTTTACCATTACGTTCAAACTTGGGAGAATCATGGCTTATCTTTATTCATTTATCCTTTGTTCATTGAAACAAACCAAGACCAATATACGAGGGGTCTTTAAAAAGTTTCTGCACTTTTTTACTCTATGTATTAAGAATTTCCAAAACAAATTACAACTTTTCTACATAGTCATCTTGCTTTGCGATGCATTTTTCCCAGTGTCGTCCCAACTTAATGCCATCACTAAATAATATATAAAATATAAAAGTGCGGGAACTTTCTGAAGACCTCTCGTAGTCTGCCTTGTGGGAGTTGGATGCAGACTTCAGGCATACCTATGGCAGCCTCCCTGAAATCCACGGGAATGAAGTTAATCCCACGCCCGATGCCGCTTTCTGAGGTTTCGAACCGTTCTGACCGTTGCCTTTTTTGCACTCATGGCCGGCGCTCACTGCCCAGAGGGCCTCGGCTTCCACTGCCGGCCGGAGAGACCCCAAATACGCGGAACACCGAGCCCCGGTTCCCCGCGCCGCGGCCGGCCGGGCAGCCCGAGGCGCCCCGGGGCACTCACCGGCAGGACCGCTCCGTGGGGCAGCTCCAGAAACTGCAGCTCCGACATGCCGAGGCTTG